ACCAGAATATACTTTTAAAGTTTTTAAACCTAAAAAAGAAAAATGTATATGGTGTGAATTGACATGTAACTCAGTGCGTTAACAACTTTTAGAAGATTTTTATTTTATTATATATTTGTATCTTGTTAGGACTATGGACTATGGGATTTGTTAAACGTAAAAGTTCTGCCCCGTGTGTCTAAATACATCTTACAAGAGAAGTTAATGGTCACTATGAAAAACAACTAAGACAAATATCCCGAGGGTCATTCCATTGGGCTGTAGGACCAAAAAAAAAAAAATCCTTTTTTAATATATATATATACGGCTTGGGCAGCCATACGGCTTGCCATAGGTAATCAAAGTTAAGCAACTATAGAGCGTGTTTAGTACTTGGATGGGCGACCGCCCGATTTGGATGACCGTCCACCAGGGAAAGTCATGCTGCATGAGTTTTTCCCCCTCCTCCCGGTATGTGAGGCCCGTCAGTCTACTGTACTGGAGGAAACTCACACCGACCTAGTGTAGGATTTATGACCCTACCCCGTGTACATAAATCGGGAATCGAGATGTGGTTAACCAGGATGTTACTAGCCCCCCTGAGGTTCGGCCCATGGACGGTCTGTTTCGGGGAAGAAGGGAGAAGAATATAGTTCCTCGTGCGCCTGCTGACTCCAAGCAGCCATAATCCTTGATCTAGACCGATTTGTCACTGTCCTTGAACCCGAGTGAGTCGGTGGGAAGGACACTGACAGATTGGTCCCAAAAGGATCGGGTATGGGGCCTACGGGTGGCCTGCCGCTGCACCATGGAGACCATGGTTCGTAGCAACGTGAGGTTGGGTGACCGCCTCCACGCTATCTGAGCTCTCGCATGCAACATATGTCTATAAGGACACCACATCTCGTGTTTAAAGATCTTCATGATCTGTGATGCCAACATAAAATAAATAAATAAAAAATAAATATATAAATAGATATAGATATAAACATATACATATAGAGATATAAATAGGGTGTATTAGTTCTTAGTAGTTCTTAGAGTCATGATTCCAAACGAAAAAGGAGTTATGACCAATTTTATGTTTTTCTTAAAGTGGTCTCGTTTTTTTATTGAATAAGAAGGGATTGCTATTCAAGATAATTAAATTTTAAATACACCATCGTAAAGTAGACAAAAAGTTCTTTGAGAAAACAGTGCTTAAACTTACTAAGATAAATGACAAAAACAACTTTCAAGAGGTCTAATAACGTAAAGCCTACCATTTTGCCGAATCGGGATTACAGAGATATGCTGCTCGTGTATGGTGTATGGAGGTAAGCTGCTACTGTAATTGCAGAAGTACAATGGCCGTATTAGACCTCATTTTGTCATTGACCTTAGTAAATTTAATCACAGTTCTTTAAAAAAAAAAATAGTCTTCTTTACAATGGTGTACTTAGAATTTAAATATCTTGAATAGTTTTTCAGCAATTCCTTCCTATTCGATTAAAAACGAGACCACCTTAAGAAAAACACAAAATTGATCTTAACTCCTTTTCCTTTCGGAATCGGCCAATGCAATTACTGAACTTTTGTGTTGGAAATGTTGTCTAGAATCACCCATCAGAGTTTGGAAATTAATAACTGAGACACCCTGTATATATATATATATATATATATATATATATATATATATATATATATATAAATTTGATTCCTGGATCAGCTACTACATGAAAACAAATTTGTTCTTTGATGACGAAAATATAAAAATATAAAACGTGGTAAAAATTTTCGATTCTAAGCCCAAATGTTTTGTTAACCTCACGGACAAGTAGATAGCTTCGATATGTTAGGCAGAAAAAACAAAAAATTATTCTATCCTAGCTAGATAAAAACAAAAATGTTTACAGCCTAAAATATAAATAGATTCAGCCGTTCCTTCTTATTCACATATGCGATGTCAATAAATCCGCACGAGGACAAAATGGGGAACGTAATCGAGATGTGAAAGTGTTTTCCCGGAGCGGGTTATGCTACCGAATGGCGAGTTATGACGTGTCGCAAAATCCTTATTCCCGAAGCTCGCCCGATCCGTAGGGGGGGGGGGAGGGAGGATGGGACATAAATAATTTTATTATAGATGGTAATAAATTTTTATTGCCTGCGAGGAGTAATGCTCTATCGAGGTCACTAAGAATCGTATATTTTATATCTCTGCCTCACCGGTGACATAATAAAAAAATAAACATGAAAAAGTATTTTAATTTAAAATAAATAAACATTCTAAAAAATAAATTAATTTTTTTTATTTTATAAATATTGTATTACCTATAAGGGTCATTTCTCCCCATTATTAATTTTATAAAAGTATTTAAACATAAAGCTTTATTTTATTAATTTCTGTCAGAATTAAGGACATTATTAACAGTAAGATATGAATTCATTCACATCAAATTTACAGAAAATATAAATAAACACTACAAATAATTCGCGAAGTATAATGGTCGTAGAACAAATGACAAAATATTATGAAAAAAAAAGATTAAAATTTTTTCAAACTCCAAAAACTAGATAAACTGTTTTATCGATACCTTGTGGAGTTCGTGAGAATATTTTCAGTTGGAAGGATATACATTTTTCGAATACGATTCGATCGGATATATAATTTCGAATTGGGACTAAAAAGAACAAGGTATAAATTACGCATCTTAGAATTACAAAAAGTTGTGAATGATACAGCAGAAAATTTTAAACCGATAGAAATACAATAAGTATTTTATGTATAATGATGAAATATATGTTATTAAAATGTTTTAGCTTTGAGTGGACAATAAAGTTGATCTACCTAGGCATTAATTAATCATAGCTTCAATTTTTTTTAGAACTCCAAAAAGTAGATAAACTGTTTTATTGATACCTTGTGGTGTTCGTGAGAATATTTTCAGTTGGCAGGATATACATTTTTCACTGTTTTTATTTAATAGTTCAAGAAAAACAAAAAAATAAACAAATTTAGCCTAGGTCGCGGGTTTTCCCTTACTCGTCCCATTGTTAGGTAGGATGGCCGAGCGGGCTAACGCGTGTGCTTAGTATAGAACCGCGCGTTGCCCGGCAACCTGATAACCGAATTTAGTGATGGAAAAATAGTAATTACAGTACAAATCCTTTTTTAACTCGGCATAATTCCCCACCCTCTCTCAGGGACCAACGTACATCAAGCGCAAACTGAGGTTTCTGTTTTTTAAGAATTTATTATTTCCCCTTTGATTTATTTATTATTATTATCTTTATCATTCTCGCATTTCCAAATTGAATGTTAACGGTAGGATAGGAGAAGGGAGAGGGGGCAAGTCCAACCACCTACGGGTACACATTTTTATTTCTAATATTAAATATTTCTTATATTTCTAATATTTCTTCAAATATTAAATTTTTTTAAAAACTATCATAGCCGTGTCCAAAATAACAGCTTCCTAAGTCTCTCTTAGTACACCGAAGAGCAAGTCCTAGACATCCGTACTTACCACCGTTCTTTATGGAATTGGGCCATTTGTCGATATTATTATAATATTATATTATATTATATTATTATAATATTATTATTATATTTTTTTGGTTTATTTTTTTTATTCACACCTGTCATAATGGTAATGACAACCAGTGAATGTAAGGTTGACTAAAAAAAAAAAAAAAAAAAAAATGTCATGAAAGGCATTACGAGGATCAGTGCCCAGCGGCACCTCACTCGGCGTGATATCTACGCTAGGCGAGGAGGTCCCTCATCCAGCTCCTCTTCAGTTTCCTACAGACGTTACCTGGCATATTCGTAGTAGCCATGTCATTTATGAGTGTATTAGGATGTCCTTGTAAGTTGTCATGGAATCGTTTGTAATGAGTTCGTATGTGTTCGTTAACAGTCGGCATATGGAGGTCAGTATGTAAGGTTATGTTGCTAACGTACCAAGGTGCTTTTGTGATTGTCCTGAATGTTTTTGCTTGAAAGGTTTGAAGTTTGTTTAAGTGAGTCTTTTTAGCAGTTCCAAATACTTGTGATGCGTAATTCCAAATAGGTTTTAGTAAGTAATTGTATGTGTTCAATTTCTGTCTAAGTTTTAATTTTGAATTTTTCGAAAGAAGTGAGTTCAGATTTCTTAATCTTTGATTTAGCGTTTTTCGTTTCTTGATTATATGTGGGCCCCACGTCATTTTTCTGTCAAATGTCAGACCAAGGTAGTGAACGGTGTCTGTCTGTGGAATCTGTGTATTGTCAAGGAAAACTGGAGGACATGTTTCATGCCGAAGCGTAAATGTGATGTGTTGTGATTTTTCTTGATTTAGTCGGATTTTCCAAATTTTTAAACAGTCATGAAATCTTGTTAAATACTGTTGTAGGGTCTGTGAGTCGTATGTTGGATTTTTGTGTCGTCTGCATATGTCGCTGTTAAAATGTTCGGGCTGCAAGGTATGTCATGGGTGTATGTGATATAGAGTAGTGGAGCGAGTACTGAACCTTGAGGTACTCCTGCTGAGATAGACCTGATGGAAGATAGTCCTGAGCCGTGTCGGACCGAGAAAAATCTATCGGAAAGAAAGGATTGTAGAATTAGATAATATGTATGTGGGAGTATTGTCTTGAGTATAAAGAGAAGACCCTGGTGCCAAACTCTGTCAAACGCTTGAGCAACATACAGAAATACGCCAGTTGCATATACTTTCTGCTCTAGTGCTGTAGAGATGTAGTCCGTTACTCTATGTAGTTATGTTAATTATATTAAACGTAATAAAAATGTAACAGAAATTAATATGGAGATATTTTGCAATTGCTTAACATCAGGCAATGGTTGGTACTGCTAAGATTATTTTTACAGCAATCTAAAATTATAATGAACTCTGAAATATACCAAATGTCAACAAAGAACAATAAATATATATTAGCAGTGGGCATGGACTTATAAGGAATCGAATTCAATTTCTAAAAGTAGCATAGTGAGATTTACTCCTCGAGATATCTCGTGTAATTTCCATTTTAATTGAGAATGGAAATGTTCCATGGCGGAGAAAGATGGCGTGTCGAGATAAAAATTGGTAGGGTTGGAGAGGAGTTACATGCAACCGACGACTTGTACCCTAGCTGAACGGGACCGGCTCTTAACAATCTTATCGAGGAATAATTGCTAGCTCAGTTACAAAAAGTTTCTTGTTGCTATATTTCCATCAACAACGTTACGCCAATTTAGATATCACTAGGAAAGAAACGAAAAAACAATACGACAGATCGAGAACTGCGGACTTCAAACGATATTTATTAATCTAGGAGCTAGAATTAATTAATATTTAATTATTTAGGATATGAAAATTTAGAAACTAATAGAATTAAGTGAAATATATGTATATCGCATTGTGTATTTAATGAAAAATAAAAAAAACAGTGCAAATTATTTCACAATGGTTTATTATTTCCAAACAATTATACAACTAAAGTAACATTACCTTCCTAGTTACGGAGCGAAGAGGAAGCGAGGTTAGAAAAAAGAGGATTCGGATGGTTATGAAGTTTATTATGGAGGGATACATATCTGGATTGGGACACATCGGAAATATATGGAACATTAAGGTCTTAATGGATTATTTTATTTGTGACAAAGTAAGGAGCATTGAGTATTTTGGATTGTAAGGATAGGATACTAGAGGAATTCGATGGTTTAGTAGAGCCCCATAGCTCAACTCCGTAAGTAAAATAGATCTTATTATGATCATGTATACGAGTCTTTTGTAATTAATTTAAAGTTTAGAGCGTTTGTCTTGTAAGTATTGGAGTAAGTGGAAACGTCGAACAGTTCGTTGGTGTTTCAGTCTGGTATGAGGATTCCAAATTGAGACGTTTGGCCAGGTGGAGTCCTAGGTATCGGATTTGTTTAACAGGTATTGTTATCGGGGAATTATTAAATGATACTGTATCAGAGGAAGTCGTAGGTTTACAACGAAGGGTAAAGGTGATTTGATGGGATTTATTCGAATTTATTTTAATTCTCCAGTTTTGACACCATTCTTCAAGGTTTGTGATGTGCGATTGAAGAGTTTTGAGAAGCAATTGATGGATCGTTATTAACTGATAGGATAAATATGTCATCGGCTTACGTACAAGGAAAATAGATAATAAATAAATAGTGGTCCATCGATTTACCAGGAGTTTCAAGATTTGACGGTCCATATATTAGAGGACGAAAAACTTTTTTAATGTACTTCCCGATAAACAAATAACCATTTCAGGCACTTAATACGGCTGAAGGAAAAAAACTAGAAAAAAAATAACTTCATTCATTCATCCTTGAGAATCATAGCTAATGACCAGACGACATCAGCCTCTTTGAGTTTTACACTACGAGTTAGAACAGTGTGATGATGAGCACACTCCTATTCTAAATGACGTCTTTATACGACGTGTTTCAAGTTGTCATGTCAGCGTTATGTGAATTTACTTAAAATAGTTTTGATTTAATCAAATGCCAGATTTCTCCGTCAGATAACCTAATTAACAAAACGTAACAACCTTATACAGAATGGGTGTGCCCATGCCATTGTTTCCCACAGCCACACTCTGGAGACTTGGAGCACTACGTCTTACTCACTGAATTACCCCGTTCCACGCTTAAACCTTCTCATGCCATGGGTACCCTTTTTAGGACCTGGTTCCAGTGCTACAGTGGTCTCTATTCAGCACCGACAAATACTCTGGTCAGAAGGCTTCCACCCTGGTCAGTACCTGAGGGCGACCCTTACAAGGCCTGGATAGCTCAGTCGGTAGAGCATCAGACTTTTAATCTGAGGGTCCAGGGTTCAAGTCCCTGTTCGGGCGAAATATTTTTTTTTTTATTTTATATCTATTTTATAATAATTTTTAATATTTTATTTAAGGAGCAGATAGGCGGGATGTGCTAAAAGTCGGTCACATATTATGTAAGAGTTATATTTATTTTTGTATACGATTCGATCGGATATATAATTTCGAATTGGGATTAAAAAGAACAAGATACAAATTCAAATCTTTGAATTACAAAATGTTATGAATCATACAGTAGAAAATTTTAAACTGATAGAAATACAATAAGTATTTTATATGTACTGATCAAATATATATTATTAACATATTGTTGCCATTGACAACAAATACGTAACACGTTGAAATCCATCTACTCGGGTATTAATTAATTATAGCTTCAAGACAAACTTTAAGATAACTATTTACCAGTTATGGCTACCTCAACAATAACACCATAAAAAATTAGTTTATAAGCTGAAATTTGTTAAGAGAAACTAAATGTGTGCGATTAAAAGATACCTTTATATATGTCCATTAATAAACAAAAAAAGTTGAATTACATTAACTTTCCTGAAAATATATATGAAGGACATAGTGCAGCTTGTGAGATGTGGGCAACAGATTTTCTTACTTTCACTTAGTTATCTTTTTTTTCTCTCATTCACCCCTTTCTGACACCAGGATATGAACCTGTAATCTTACATTGGAAATTGAATAGCTGTAACTTCGTTAATAGTTGTCCGAAATGAAAGATTTTTATATAGTTTTGTAGGGAATTTCATCACTTTTAATAAAACAGACTAATTGGTACTAATCGGATTCAAATGTTATCAATTTTACCATAGAATGCATACTTAGCGATTTAGGCCCCAAAACATTTTTCTTTTCTTTATAGGCCTTTTTCCTGTATTTTCTTTTTCTGAATTTGATTGAATAATTAAATCGTAGGATATGTGAATATAAATTATTATGTTTGAATATATGTTAATTTATGTCAATGTCAATTTAAATAAAATTAACATTCATGTATGAATAAAATAGTTATTACCATTAACATACCAGCCTAGTTAATTTTCCTAAATCGATTTTAGATTACACATTTTATTCATTCATCTTGCTTATTTATTATGAATTTTAATTGTTTTTACATTAAATTTCTTTGGGGGAGAGAGGGGGCGGGGAGGGCGACCCCCCTGAAATGTGCGCCTATGTGGGTATAGTTAGTTACTTAGTAGTACATAAATACCTAGAATGGTATCGAAAATATTAAATTGACATTATTAAACCTACTTTCTCCCATAGCAAGGAATAGTAATCAGAAGGAATAGTCACGGACTATTTAGTTAATTCTTAATCACGTTATTTGATTGGCTTGTTAAATAGAGCCTGGTGTAAGGAGGATTCTCATTGGCCGCAGTGACCTGGTCTATCTCTATGTTGGCAGCCATATCGTATTAGAGCTGTCCTCTATTTGTCGAGTCCTTCCTTCCTCGCCGACAATTCCTTTATTGCAGGCGCCATTGTTCTCAGCAAGGGATGAAAATAACTTTTTGGTTTAACCGTTATATAAATTTAAGTTATTTTATTGTTCCAGTTATAATCGTTTTTTTTTTAACAGCCAATTATCAGAGGAAATAATATGGTTTTGAAATAAAAAAAAATAATGACTAGGCAATATTATTAAAAATAAGTCTTAATATGAATTCATTCAGTATTGAATTATTGAATGGAAAGTGGTAACATACTTTCATGTCCAGGATTTAATTTTTTTTTTAGTTGAAACTAGGTTATTGAGTACGTAATATGGAAAATGGTAGTAGTGAGAAAAATTTTCATCAACACCAATTTTACAGAAAACATTAATAAACAAAACAAATTAAAGATCAAAAAGTATATACTATAAATTAAAAAAAATTAACTTAAGGATAAAAAAATTAAAAATGCCCTTATTTATTTAATTAATTTATAGTATTGTTTTATCCTCCTCGAAGGTTGAAGCGGCAGTGGCCCAGAGACCTTTTGTAAATAAGCATCTATTGGAGTTTTGGCAATGGCCAGATCCTCCACTCAAGCCCGAGTGTGTATGATTAGGTTAGTTCTTTTGTTTATATACATTTATTTTATTTTATTGTATTTATTTTTATTTTATTTTATTGTATTTATTATTATTAAATTTCTGTATTATTTATTTTTTTTTATTGTAAATAGAGTGTGAGTGTGCTCTCTGAACACTATTATAAATGTCCTTGATGTGACAGAATGTAATATTTCTAAATAAACAAATATAAAAAATAATAGTATTGTTTTAATAAAAATCCATGCCATGTTATAAAATGTATTGTTTAAATTCAATAATAATTAAAAATATATAAAATCCAATACAGTATTATTGAATAATAATAATACCGAGTACAATACAAATATAATGTAATTTTAAAAATGTTATATTTTGAAAAATTTACATATGCATGTATAGTTGACTGTAGAAGTTGTAAGGACGAAAAATGATCAGGATGCGCAGTCTTATTATGTTTAAAACATAATTATTTACATCATTTAAACATATAAATTACAAATTATTTCTTACAAATAAGGTAATTTAATAATTAATTTTAAAACAGAATATACAAAATTATACATATTAACATAACAATAATATAGAATGTGTGAATTTATAAAGGATAAAATACAATAGGTAAGATTAGCAGCTTCATAATAAGTTTATAAAAAAATATAGGCAATATTTATATATATGTACATATACATGTTTTATTACAGTTTGAAAATGGGATGTATAATTCCGAAACGTAACAAATAAATAAAAAAATAGAATTTTGGGAGAGAAAGCCTGTTAGTTTTCATATACCTTACTACGAATTACTATTAATTATTAATTATTATAATTATTTAACATAAATCTAATGCTTAAAACTTTTTTTTTTTTTAATGCACATCTATTTTTATTCGTATAAGATCATTTTTATTCCTTATATATTTTTTGTTTTTTAATTTTGCTAAATGCAAAATTTGCTAGTCATTCCATTTTTCTCAATTAAGAAACATAAAATAATAAAATCGCATAAACAAAAATAATTATACTAAACTAGTTTATTTTTATAAGAAATTATTTGGAGCGGTTATAACATAACGGTTAAAGAACTTCATTCATATGAATAAACTGTTATTATATTAAAAACTGTTATCATTATTAAAAAAAAATACATGTATGTTTATTATATACATGTGTAAATCATGTTCTCAGGTGATGATGCGAAAAATAATCAGACTAACAGAGAACAAGAAAATAACAATTTATTAATAACTTTTGATAGATTGAATTCGCAATAATTAATATTGTATTACGAAATATTTTAAAATAAACTGGTAGCCAATAATACACCCGAAATGAAAAAAAAACAAACGATAACAGATAATACCCGCAGATAAATAAATTGAAAAAAGTGGAAAGCAAACATTTAGAGCTTTATTTACTCAACATTATTCCTTATCGATTCGCAAATGTTTACCTTCGACCCGGAAACGTTCCAATCGCAAATTATATACGTGAAATATGCACGTACACTAAATTGAAAAATATATATTTTATAAATTTATTTGAGAAATATATCACTATTGGAAATTCTATTTATATAATTACATGATTAGGTGGTGAATGTTAAATGCTTAATTAATTAATTTAAAAACGTTATAAAATCAGAGACTGAGAATATTAATTTTTTATTGTACCAGCCAACGTTTTACTATATTTTTATTTTTATTTTACGATATGTACATATTTTGTTAAAATAACTATTATGTACATAAATGTTTATTTTTGATATGTGTATGCATTGAGAAATACTGAACCTAGTTGGTGTGTTTTGTTTTGGATAGTTGATAAAAGATACTTGGTCTTCATACATGTAATCTGTCCTAATGTTAGCTCAATGGTAAAAACTTTGGCGGGTCAATAGTTTAATTCATTTTAGTGAGCCTAGTAAAGCATTGTGTTTGCAATTTTATCCTAAAAATTAGTTGGGTACTTTAATGGGTAAAAATAGTGTTGCCCAAAATCGGTCTTGGTATTGCACTTTGCAAGACCAAGGCCGCCTAACTGTTGCAAGACCAAGACCAGGAGTGGTAAAAAAAATCGATTTTTAAAATAAAAATTAGGACAAAACAGTTATCACTACTCGACAATTTATGTTAATCATTGGTATAACCAATATACTTTTGCATTTAACTCCTCTAATTTTTCATTCGGGCTTAGTTTGGTTTCTCCTATCTAAAAAATTACAGTAATATCTCTGTAGTAATAAGCCAATAAGTTACTGCAAGACCAAGACCATGACCCAGACTGAGTTTGCAAGACCAACGAGTCTTGGTCTTGCATTTGGGTAACACTAGGTAAAAACAACAGTGAATTTCAGATGCAATAGAATTCAAGTTAGGAAGAACGTATACAAGATTCAGATTGCCCTTCTTAAATAATAACAATATTCACTGAGAGGTGAGGAGGGGATTGGGTGTGTAGCCTGAGCCCACCGCGGGGTGCCGTGTACGGCTAGCCAAATACGATACTATCAAACTTCACTCATTTCAAATTCAAATTATAGATTTCTCTGTTTGATTAATCAATTACTAAAATGTAAGCACCTTATACAGACTGGGTGTGCCCATGCTATTGTTTCCCACAGCCACACTCGAAGTCTGACTCTGGAGATTTGGAGCACTACGTCTAACTCACTGAACTACCCCGTTCCACGCTTCTCATGCCATGGGTACCATTTTTAGAACCTGGCTCCAGTGCTACGGTGGTGTCTATTCAGCACCGACAAATACTCTAGTCAGGAGGCTTCCACCCTGCTCTGTACCTAAGGGCGACCCTGACAAGGCCTGGATAGCTCAGTCGGTAGAGCATCAGACTTTTAATCTGAGGGTCCAGGGTTCAAGTCCCTGTTCGGGCGATATATTTTTATTTCAAGTTGTTTAATAATTGTTTTGTTTTTTTCACATTACAGTAACTCTGTATGGGAGTAAATATTTCTGCGCGTACCATCTTCCGAGATGACGCGTATACATGTTTAGTTAAAGATATTTATTCTTGAAGGAAGTTACTCGACTGTTCTACATATCATGGGTGATAAATATTCAGGAACGCAGTATTTTTAAATTTTTTTACTTGTGCCTTATGAGCACTCAGTACTTGAACACCCTCAGTGCTCAAACCACGCCTTGAAGACGACCACATGGTTGAAACTTTGGCAAAAATTAAAAAAATTAAAAAGACTGCGTCCTGAATATTTATCACCCATTTAAGATATTTAGTTAAAATAATACAGACACATTACAAAACTAAATAAATAAATATATATAGAAAATTATAGTAGTAAAAAATAATTAATTAAATATAATATACGAATAGGTAAAATGAATAACAATAGTAATAAGTTAGGGGTCAGATGAGAAGAAGTAGAATATTTAAATTGAAATGTGATGTAAAATAATAAAAGAGCCAACTGCAGCGTATGGACAAACACGACACCATCAAAATTTATAAAATAAAATACAATGAAATCTAAATATATTTTTTTCAGAGATTACAGAGTGTGAGAAAAAAAACAAAACAACGAAAGATATTTCTTGGATGGAAGTTATGTAAGTTGCACTCTAAGACAAAAATTATGACAGCCGAATTACACATTCTCTTTAACGCTAATTGTCTTTACTAATCAGATTCTCCACTCAAGACATGAGTGTATGTGGCTTAAGCGCTCTCGCTCAAACTCCACTGGCTTTAGCAGCAATGACGCGGTTGAGAGAGTAGCGCAGGGATCTCTTTGAAGTCCTGTTTTTTCTTCTATAGTTGCGGAGAGAAGCCTGGCTTGGGGTTCCCTGCCTAATTGTATATATTGCATATAGATATGACTGTGTTTTTATGTTTTTTAATACACTTATTACTTACTTAGGTTATTTTATTTTTTATTGTATATAGTTTTTGATTATTATTTTACTTTTGTTAATTTTATAAATTCTTTATATATGAATGTGTTCATATATCACTATGATTATTGTCCACGTCAGAGATTATTATATTTCTAAGTAATAAAAATAAATAAATCAGAAAAATTCTAAACTTGTTTATTTCTATAACCATATCTACAACGAGTAATACTAATTAAATCCCATTTTTTAATTTTTGCTCTGAATTGGTACCACAAAGATAATACGTGTATTGAAAAAGTGAGTACACCGGAGAGAACATTGTTAAAAACTGGTATTATTAAAATTTCTTATCAAAAAATTTTACTACTAAGATTTCGGTGTAAGAGGAGATACTGAATGTAATAACAAAGTCATAAACCTAGAGAATAAATGTTTTCGTTCAGATAATAATGTTAAAAATAAAAATGACATAGATAGTGAGTGTAACTCGCTAAAAATACACACTAAAGTGTTTCTTGAGAGCAATCAAAACAGGAAAATAATTATAAAAAACAAACAATTGGTTGAGATATTTCATTTATTACTTCTCTAAATCAGGGAGCAGGGGACGCCCTACTGACCTCAGCTGATTGTGGCAGGTCAGGGTGGTTCGTTCGTTTTCTAAATGATTCTCTATCTTTCGACAGTTTTATACTTATAAATTTATCTTTTTATCTCTATCTATCTATCTATTTATCTATCTATCTATCTATCTATCTATCTATCTATCTATCTATCTATCTATCTATCTATCTATCTATCTATCTATCTATCTATCTATCTATCTATCTATCTATATATATATATATATATATATGTATATATATATAATTTATTTTGCAAGTAATATCTAAAAGTTAACGAAAAAACAAAATGGGAGTTTGAACTTCGTATTTTATTGCTTCGCTCTCGGGCTGCCTAGGTCAACACAACTTTCACTTACCGCTCAATTTTGAATGGAAATTATTTTTCTGGCCATGTTGGGGTATTATAAAATTTTTGAATTGTATTTTTAACTGAGCTAATGCTAAAAGATTGTAGCTAACAAATCATAAATACTATTAAAACAGCAAAAGTCCTATTTATTATATCACCGGTTGATTATGGATTGTAAGATTCGTTGATTATAGATTGTACGATCCGTTGGTTATGGATCGTACGACTATTAGTGATTAAACTGTTATTTTCCATTGCAAAGTTTCCAAAAACGGAATTGATAGATTAGCATTGTCTGTCATAGAAAGGTCAATAGTTGTCCCACTAATTGTAAGTGGATTCAGTTGAAATATCGCAAAGGGAAAATTTATCAAATTATTCACTAATTTAATTTTCTAAGACGTCACATAATGATTTTTCGGAATAATCGTTGATACCTAATTTAAATTAAAAAAATAAATCTGAATTACAGGAGTGGACAAAGTGAACATTCAGTTTTTATTGAAAATGTTTTAGCATTTAAATAGGTTTTATATAATGTTATTTTGATTATACTCACATTTTTTTAATTTGTAATTTTTGAAATAAGACATTTCAAAGAAATATTTTTGAGATAAAATAAAAAAAAATTATTGGATTTTATAAATGTCTTTTATATAATTTTTGACTTGAAAATGGGCAAAATTGTCCGAAACGTCGTCAAAATTCAAAAAAATGAAATACAATTTTATAAAGTAAAAAAGGGATAAAATATATATCCCTCGAAAAAATAAACTTCATTCAATAATATATACCTTAGAAAAAAATATAATAGTAAGATTTATGATAAACAATTTTACAAATTGTCCCATGAAATTCTTTCTCCAACATATACTTCTTAGTCCCCACTCATTATATATTTTGTATAAATGTTAATCGAAATATTTCAGTGGTGTTTGAGACAATTCACTATAACAGCAACATCTGAGATGGAACATTGAAATTTCCTGAAATGGGAGCTAAAGATAAAATGATCAGCTGTTCTACAGGAGCGATAACACGCACTTTGATAAAGCTTAGACCTTTAGAGGCACGGGGAACACCGTGAAGATTGTCTTCGCCATATTGAAAACTGAGATGTCTTTTTATGGCTCCCGAGGGAATATAGCTGATATTATGTCTTGAAAATGCAATGTCAGGGAGGTAGGGTATATGAAACAAGAAAAGAGGAAAAATAAATTTATCTTCAGGGTAAATATCAGAATGAAGAATACGTAAATAAATAAAATATAGTGGGACACTAGTGCATTACTAATTCACTTAAGAAATGTATACTTAAATAATTTAATAATACCCATGTATGCATATATATATATATATATATATATATATATATATATATATATATATATATATATATATATATATATATATATATATATATAAATGTATATAATATTTAGGTGTGTATAGTATTTATAACATTTATATGAGAAAAATGAGAGTATGCCAGCCGTAACTTGCTATTGTTAATTTGGTGGCTTATTTAAAGAATATTATGGTGTTGACTTGAGGATAGAAACGGGAAATTCATTACGAAAAATGTAGGAAAAGTTTTTATTTTTATATATATATATATCACTTTAGACAAGTAAAAAACAAAATACCTATACTAGGTAAGTAAAGTATTGCGATCGGGTCAAATTTCCGATATCCGGTTTTAGACGGATCTATACGTTTCAGAGCCCCCTGAATCCATGCCTAAACAAATGTACCAATTTCAATAAAACTTGGCTAAAGTCTTCTTGATGTCCTTTAAATTTATCTATATAACATACTTCAACGAAAAGATCCGAAAAGGAAGGTAAAATCAGATTACGAATAACTCAAAAAGAAGACACTTTTTTATTGGCATTGTTTTTATAAGTTTATGGAATTTCCTTAAAAAAGCGTTAAAATCGGACAATTAAGAGCAAAGATATATTTTTTATGTTCGACTGCAAATATTTTGTTTTGGATTTTTTAATGTGTTACTGAAGTAATGCTATTTTTCTTTTTTAGGAAATTACTTCTTTTTTTTGTATATATATATACAACATATTTATTGAGAAATACTACAATATGTCACAATTAAGGACATTTATATTAGTTTTCAAAGAGCACATTCATACACCATTCACAATAAATAAAAATATATAATATACAGAAATAATAATACTAAAAATAAATGTATATAAACTAAAATAAACTAAACTTAACAAAAAGAAACTAAACTAATGAAAATAACTACTCAAATACATACATGCTTCTATACAATACCTAAAAAAATAAAACTTCATTCACTCAATATTTCCGAGCTAAGCCTTTCGCTCTCCACTCGTGGAAGGAAAGACAAGACTCTAGTAGATCCCAACCCCCCTCACACAGCCGAGCTACTCGTATTAAAGGCCAGTAGAGGCTAAGGAGAGGCGCTATTATAATCACACATACATGTTAGCAAATTACTAATGATGAAAAAAAAATGTTTAGGCAAATAATTTTAATTAACTTTTTATTTATTTTAATTCGTAACTAGAAATGTAATATTACTTTAGATGTATAATTGTTGAAAAATAATAAACAATTGTAAAATAATTTGCAGCGCTTTTATTATTACATTGCCTCGATTCTATTTTGTTTTCTCTAAATATGATTTGAATGACCTCTTTTTCACACTACAACCAGTGTTGCCCAAATGCGAGACCGAGACGAATCTTGGTCATGGACTTGGTCTCGCAGTTATTTATTTGCTTATTACTATAGAGAATTACTGTAATTTTTTAGATAGGAGAAACCTAACTAAGCCCGAAAGAAAACTTAGGAGAGTTAAATGCATATTGGCTATACCAATTATTAACATATAGTAACTAAGATTATCAAGTATTTGTAACTATTTGCCTTAATTTCTATTTAAAAAATCGATTTTTTTACCAGTCCTGGTTTTGGCCTTACAACAATTAGGCGGCGTTTTGGGCAACACTAACTATCACTAATTTCCAT